TAGAGAAAAAAGGGTAAATAACATGTAGAGACCATTCAAAGAACTACTCATGGGTAATAAACATACCAACAAATTATAAAATATAAACCATTAAATCAATTGATTTTAAAGCTATTTTCTTGCTGGAAAAGTGTTCATGTGTGCTTTTGTGTATTGTAGAGAAAAATGAGGGGTTTTTATTTCCAATCGTCACTTCAAAAACAATGAGTTCTCAAATAAAAAAAAAATGCCCAGAAAGTTAAGGCCATTTTCCCAGTAATGTTAAATATGTCATCTCATATATTGCTGGTGGGAGTAAAAATTGGCATAACTTTTTGAACACAATTTGGCAATAATTCCTTTCCTAAGAACTTAACCTAGAAAACACTGAAAATATAAATGCATGTAACAACTTATTTATAATAGTAAGCATCTGGAAACAGGTCAATATTTCACAGTAGGACAATATATCACTCATATAAGTAAGAGTTCATCCATGTGTTAGCTATTAAAACGAGGTTCACCAAAGTCAATTAATCATATGGAGAAAAGTTCATAATACAGCCATGGTAAAATGACAATGTGTATTCAGAGAATTGCACAAGTATGTTAAAAAACTTCCTAGGAAGAAAAACACACAAAAAAGTATGACTGTCAATATCTCAAAAATGAAATTAATGATGGATTTTCTTTACTTATTTTACCATTTTGCATTATCCAAATACTCTACAGGAAGTATGTGTTATTCATATTATTGGAGTACAGTCATAAAGCAGTCTTCTAGGTGGGTTAATGGGCATTCAGATAAAGACATTTCTCAGCCTTCCATGGACCTCGATGTGGACATGCAACAAACTCAGGTCAATGGATGCACAATTTCTGGGTCATGTTGAAATACAGCAAGCCACTTGACCTGGATTTTGTTTTTCTCCACTTCCCTTGAGCTAGGATGTAGACACGGTGCTGATGAGTCAACATCAACCATGATGATTGTAATGGTGGCATGGTAGAAAGAACCCAAGGCCTTGGTCGGCCTGATGATGCACAGCCCACTGACATGAAATAAGCAAGAGGAAAAAATATGTCTTGTCTGGGCCACTGTAAGTTGAGGTCTCTTTGTTATAGTTGCTTAGCATGAAGTCCAAGAAATACATGTCATAAATTTTCCAAATATGCCTTATATATTTTCCTGTACAAACACATATTTCTTTAATTTCAATTTAAAAGTAATCATCTTACAGGCACACTGTAGGTACTCTAATTAAAGAGGTAGTGTTGGGAGCAAGCCCCCCAAAATCTGGCCATAAACTGGCCCCAAAGCTGGCCATAAATAAAATCTCTGCAGCAGTGTGCTATGTCCATAATGGCCCTAATACCCAAGCTGGAAGGTTGTGGGTTTACGGGAATGAGGGCAAGGAACACCTGGCCCACCCAGGGCAGAAAACCGCTTAAAGGCATTCTTACGCCACAAACAAAAGCATGAGATCTGTGTCTTAAGGGCGTGTTCCCACTGCAATTAATTCTGCCCATCCCTTCGTTTCCCATAAGGGATACTTTTAGTTAATTTAATATCTATAGAAACAATGCTAAAGACTGGTTTGCTGTTAATAAATATGTGGGTGAATCTCTGTTTGGGGCTCTCAGCTCTGAAGGCTGTGAGACCCCTTGTTTCCCACTTCACACCTCTATATTTCTGTGTGTGTGTCTTTAATTCCTCTAGCTCCGCTGGTTTCAGGTCTCCCTGATCGAGCTGGTCTTGGCAAGTGGTGTCTATTCATGGGGGCTCGAATCCAGGTTGAAGGGTCACCGGAGCGACGGCTGGAACGGAAAACTAGCTGGGGGACACCCGAGTACTCTTAAAGCAATCCCTGTGGTGAGTAAGAAGGGGAGTTCGGAAGCATCAGGGTAACAATGGGGAAAGTTTGGGGTCTGGTTCATTTCACCTTGGAACTTTTTCACACGGATGACGAGGAGGAAGGAGAGTATAGGAAAGTAACAGAAGCAGTTACAGAGCATGTTTATTTGCCAGCTAAAGCTAAAGGAGCAAAGGAAGGAGAAGTTCATCCCTACCCTTCTGCATCCCCTCATTATTTTGAAGAAAATGTCCCCCCAGATCTTTCTTTTCTGGAGGACACTGGGTGAAAAGTAGTTGCCCCGGTGACTGTTCCAGCAGCGCCTCGAGTGATGGCTCTTAGTTCTATTCAGGCAGGAATTCAGCAAGCTAGACAAGAGGTGATTTAGAGGCTTGGCAGTTCCCTGTTAGAATACACCCCCCCCCCGGGATCAAGAGGGAAATATTATACCTACATTTGAGCCTTTTCCTTTTAAATTACTCAAAGAATTAAAACAAGCTATAAATGAGTATGGACCAGGTTCTCCTTTTGTAATGGGACTGTTAAAGAATGTACTTTTCCAGTCGGATGGTTTCTACTGACTGGGACGCTCTTACTCGAAGCTTGTCTAACTCCTGCTCAGTTTAAAACTTACAATTTAAAACTTGGTGGGCAGATGAAGTTTCCATTCAGGCTGCTCACAATGTCCAGGCCCAACCTCAAATTAATATAACTGCAGACCAACTTCTGGGGGTTGGTGGCTGGACTGGTTTAGATGCACAACTGGTCATGCAGGATGATGCCATAGAACAGCTTAGAGGAGTGTGCATTAGTGTTTGGGAAAAAATCACTTCAGGTGGGGAAAATTACCCTTTCTTTAGGGCTGCAAAACAGGGATCCAGAGAACCGTACGTTGATTTTATAGCTCAGTTACAGGAGTCTCTTAAAAAGATGATTGCAGATTCGGCTGCTCAGGGTATAGTGTTGCAATTATTAGCTTTCCACAATGCTAATCCCGATTGCCAGGCTGCTCTGTGACTTATCAGAGGGAAAGTACATTTAGTTGATTATATCAAGGCCTGTGATGGTATCGGAGGTAATCTGCATAAAGCTACTTTGTTGGCACACGCAATGGCAGGACTGAGAGTGGATAAAGGAAATACTCCATTTCCTGGAGCTTGTTTTAACTGTGGGAAGCATGGTCGCACTAAAAAAGAATGTAGAAAAAATCAGTGAGTCAGGTCACCTGATGGGGGAAAAAAGAAAACGGTTGAGCCTGAAATATGTCCAAAATGTAAAAAAGGAAAACACTGGGCTAGTGAGTGTCACTCTTAAGTTTGATAAAGACGAAAATTCAATTTCAGGAAACGCCATGAGGCGCCTGTCCCGGGCCTCGTTCTAAACTGGGGCATTTCCAGCTCAGGCCATTCCCTCACCCCTGTACAATGTCTGTCCCCCGCCACAGCCAGTAGTGCCTCAGTAGATTTATACTGCACAAAAGCTGTGAGCCTTCTGCCTGGGAACCCCCGCAAAAGGTCCCAACAGGAGTCTGTGGACCCT